GCTGCTGATGGAGGGGGGGGGGATTGCTCTGGGACCCCTCATGGGCACCCCCCCAGGAACCATGCACCAGGGCATGGATGCAGCCCCTGAGACAGGAGGAGGATGGAGCATCCCCCTGCCCCCCCTAAAGGCAGCCGGTGACCCCCCTCCCTGCCCCGGGGAGCCCTCGGGCCCCCCCAGTATAGATCCAGCCGTGGAGCAGCCATGTGACAGATAAGCCTGGGACCAGACACCCCCCCCCCAGCAGTGACTCCTGCCCACTGCCCTGGGGGATCAGCGCTAATTGCCCTGGGGCTAATTGCAATTGTGGCACAGCCCAGAGCACCGCTGCGGGCGCTGCCTCAGTTTCCCCTTGGCCAGGCGCCGAGCCGGGCTTATGTTTTTGCAGGAGAAAAGCATTTGTGGTATATTTTTGCATTCATGGTGTATTTTTGCAGTCGTGTGAGCTCAGCCGGCAGCTTGATGCCGAGGCCGTCCCCATTTCGGGGACTGGCACAGCCCGGAGCATCCTCACCCCCCCTGTCACATCCCCAAGCCTGGGTGAGCACTGGCCCCGAGCACCCCATCGCCAGGAGATAAATCCTGCTGGGTGCCAACCTGTTATATCCCCGGGCAGGCGGCCAGGCGCGGGATGCCAGCGCTGCTGGAGGTGCTAACGAGACTGAAAATTAAGTGTTGGAGCGGGAGGTGTCCCTCTGCCACGCCGGGCGCTGGCAGGGACATCAGTGGTGGCACCAGCCCAGCAAACCCACACGCATCCCCAGTGCCCATCGCGGGACTGGCAAGCCAAGAAAGAGAGGCAAGGAAAAAAAAAAAACCGCCCAAAACACCAGTTTTCTTTACAAAATACACAAAATTCAAATCCGTGACAATTATATACAAAACAAGGAAGATACAAAACGTGCGGAATTGTCCTGTTTGCACCCGTATAGAAAAGTGTCCCGTGCTGGAGCAGGCGCCGGCTCACGAGGCCGCTGGCCCCCGCGGTGCGTCCCCCCTGTCCCGAGTCCCGTCGCCGGACATCCTGCGCCCGCGGCGTTTCTCCTGCGCCGGCAACGCTGCTGCGGCTACTGGGGAGCTGCCAGGAGGAGAGGAGAGGGGGATCAAGGGGGGGTCCAAGCCCCCGAAGCTCCCCCACGGGTGCTTGAGGGTGCCGGGGAGGTGGGCTTGGCCATGCCGCCCCTCTTACCCGTCACTGCCCTCTCGGGTGCCACGTCCCCCTCCACCTCTTCTTCCTCCCCATCGAAGTACTCCTCATCTTCCTCGGCTGCAAACAGGCAACCGAATATCACTGCGGGGCCACCGGGAAACACAGCGGGTGCCACCAGGTCGGTGGGAGTTGGTAAAGGGGGGTTGGGGGGTCAGGGGTTGAATTACCGGGGTTGAAGTCCAAGGCGCAGACCGCCTCGGTGAGGTGGTCCAGGCTCACCGAGAAGGCGTCCATGCTCTCGTAGCCATGCTCGATCTTCTCCAGCTTGCCGCCCTTGGAGGCCTCCACGATCCTGGGCAGGGAGAGCACGGCCGTGTTCCCCCCTGTCCCCTTGCCAGGCTGGGGGACTGCCGGGTGCCGGGGCATCCCCACGCTCACCACCGGGGTGCCCCATGGCCGAATCCTGCCCGGCTGCGGGACAGGGACTGAGGATGGCCGAATTTTCCCCAATTTGGGCACTTACGTTTTAATGAGCTGCTTGGCGTTCTGTGGGGAGCAAGAGGAGAGGTGAGTGGAGCCGTGCGACAGCCGCCGGGATGTCCCCGAGCCGGTGGGACCCCATGCGGGCACCAGCGGGGGGGGGGGGGGGGGGGGGGTCTCCAACTGG